TCACAAGACCGTCAGCCAGTCATTCACAAGACCGTCAGTCAGTCATTCACAAGACCGTCAGTCAGTCATTCACAGAACAGTCAGTAATTTACAGAACTAACCCAGGCAGCTCATCACAGGACCTTCATTTGCATGGATAAAAGGATGGGGGGGGGGGGGGGGGGGGGCTGCCTACTCACATGGGGCGTAGAACATGACGAGCGTGTGTTTCTTCTTCTTCAGCACCTCTCGGAAGTCCTCTGCTCCAAGGTGGTTGACACTGGAGGCCGTGTCCTCCCATGACGGCTCCGGGGGAGGAGGGGCCTGGGGGCTGATAGCAAAAGAGGAAAGCTGCTGAACCTCACTTGGCGGGGGGGAGCCACATTAGCATGAGTTACTGCACCAACGCTAATGGAGAAACGGCATTAGTTTGAAAGACAGCCGTTGTATGAGAGCGATGCTGGCGGGCTCTCCGCGCGCCTCCCGGCAGCGAGATGGATGAGGGAAATCGAGGACACTGCCGGATACCGACAGGTACTAAACTGCAGACATGACAGGCCGGATCCCTCCGCCGGCGTCCTCTGCCGTCTGCGCTTCCAGAACAACCTGACGAGACGCGGGCGACGTGCCGAGACAGTGTCAGGACAGGGGGAACACGCTCAAGGGCGACTGTCCTGAGGTTACCGGGGACACTGCTTGCTGAGACAGCACCGCCCCCGTGAAGGCGTGTCCTGGAGAGCGAGGTGTGCCGGACGCACACTGACCTCCGGCTGGGGATCTCAGATGGTACCGCAGCAGTGAAGCTCTGCTCAGCAAGGGCACGGGCTCGCAGGCAGCCAGAGCCAGGTTTCCATGTAGTGTTGGCAAGGTACTTAATATTCATAAGTCTGCCACTGCCTTTATGATGGCCGTCTGTGAGCGACTCCAAGAACCCTAACAAACGTCCCTCCCCGCCAGCCGTTATTCTCAGCAATGAAAACACGGAGAGCTGTCTTACTTGTGAAGCCACTCGATGATCTTGTCCTTGGTCCTCAGGTGTGGAAGTGTGTACCTATCCTCGCCATTCTCAAAGTACTTCACCGTGGGGAACCCGGAGATCTTGTAGCGCTCACCAACGTTCTTGTGGACCGTGGTGTCGATGGCTGCCAGCGCACCAGGGCCCTGCAGAGGGCGAGGAAACAGGGCATGGGGGTGTTTAGAGGACTTAAAGAATATTGCAGGCTGTAATGGGTGGGGGGGGGCAATGTGAGAGACTGAAGCTTTGGAGTTTCAACACCTTTACTGCATCGACTGCTTAGCAAAACATCTTAATCGTGCTAAACTTTAACTACCTGTCCGTTGCCTGTGGTAACGCCGTAACGCCATCACCTGCTTACTGCATGCCGTCGCTGGTTCTGCCCCGTTACCAGAATCAACAATGTTGCAGATCTCCCGTCTCTCTTCACTTTAAAATATAACTATTTGCTTTTACTGCACTTGATGTTATGTATTTACTTGCACACATTTTAAAACAAGCACCCCCTCCCCTGAAGGAAAAAAAAAATTGATTGGAAGAAATGAAAGCATGTCACGCGTAGTAGGGAAACGGCAAAAACAAATGAGCTCAGAGCCCTGGGGACGAGCCGTAAGCGCTTCAGCATGTGGCCCTATGAGATAATGCCGGCGTTTTCCCGTGGAGCGGCCTGGGTGACGACTGCAGGGACACCGGCAGGATGACCTAATAGCAAAGCGTCGCTCCTTTTATTGGCCCTTTCCTGGCTCCAGAGCGCAGCGTTACCACGGAACCCGACACGCCCAGCCAATCAGAAGCCAAGGAGCGGGTCTCTGTGCCAAAGCCGTCCGGCGCGGAGCCCGAGCGCAGGTGCTTAAACCCGAACACACGCTTTCCTGGATGAGCTCCTTGGGTAACTCACGTCATGGTTCCTGTTGAGGACCTCAGCTGCGTCTTCATACTCGGGCTTCATCTTCTTACAGTGACCGCACCCTAAAAGCCAAGAGACCGCAGCGTTATGGCACAGGCAATCGGGGCGGCTCGGGTTCGAGAAAAGAGGGATGACATCATGGTCTTCATTGTGTAATACACAACAGAAGGAGACGGATATAGCCTATTCAGGAGGAAGGGTCCATTTACACACAGCAAGGGAGAGAATCCAATTTAGCGGAGGGGGGTACATTTAGCAAGCCTCACACATACGGCTGAGGAGAAACGTGAGGTTTTAATTAAAGCTGACATGAAGAGCGTATTCTTCTCAGGGTGCTACTTGCCATCTTCTCATATAACGAGCACTCAATCGCCCAGAGACGCGCAGGTGAGAGTTGGGGTGATAGTGCCCGTCTCACTCAGGCTTTATTAATGGTAGCACCAGAGCGACTGACAGCATGGTGCTCAAACTGGATGGCACGTGACAGCCACCTGGGTCTCGGGGGGGGGGGGCATCCTTCTGCTCCCTCTTGGTTATGAAGCCGCCGCCTCTGGCTACTGACCAGAGGCTATATACTGGTCTCACCATGACGCCTCAGCCTGGTCCAGCATGTTTGGACACGGCGGCCTCAGAGTACAGCAGATCTCAGAGACCCTAACCCCCCCATCCATCCGCACAAAATTAAGGAGAATCCCACAGGCTCTGCTTCTGGCTGGGAGACACACGTCCCGAACTTCCGCACAGGAAACCTAGAGGAGATGCAGCTGAGGTCAGCCAACGGTCCTCAGCATGGTTTCACATGGTGTGGGAGGAAGCCCTGAAGAAAGATGGAGCCTGCTGGTGGCTCCATGTAATGGGAAAACCCTAATTGATCTCGGGTGCCACGGAGAGTCACGCGGCAGCGAGGCCGACGCTATCAGCCCGATCCATTCTGTGCTCTCCATTCAATTACAATCCTAATTAAGAGGACAATCATGGAGGCTCTGTAAACAGAAGCAGATCAGCCATCTAATCCCCAGGGCGTCAGTAGTCAGGCGGGGATGGACTTGGCAAAGTGCTGTTTACTGGCCCTGTAGGTCAGTGTTTCCCAACCCAGTCCTTGGAGAACCCTGGACAGTCCGCGTTTTTGCTGAGAGGAAGCAAAAATGTGGACCGTCCGAGGCTCCCCGAGGACTGGGCTGAGAGGAAGCAAAAATGTGGACCGTCCAGGACTCCCCGAGGACTGGGCTGGGAGACTCTGCTGTAGGTGATATTAAACTCCCCCGCTTAGCACTTTGTGTGCTCAGTAATCCAGTGTGTCTGAAAATCCATTTATTGCTGACATGGTTCTCTTTTTCTAAGCAGACCGTCTATTTTCTATCATACTGTCTTCACAGGGGTGATAACACGGAACAATGGCTTTGCACCAGATGCCTTCTGGATCTCAGAGAGTTGTTAGCCTTGCGAGCTGATCTGGCCAACATGTGGGCAGCCCAGAATCACAGTCTGGGGGCTCAGGAAGAGTCTCACCTCACGGTGGGACGCCCAGGCCTGCTGCCGGACCCTGGCCTTCTGCTTTCAATCCACTGTAATTGACTGGCAGACGCAGGTGCGTGCAGAAAGACAATGACATCAAACCCCAACTCGCTGCATCCATTTACGGCAGAAGGATAACACTCAGCAGGTAGATACAAGCAGGGTGGAGAGCCAATGGGGCAGCAGTGGGGGAATCTGCCGGGGGGGGGGGGGTGACATGGCAGTGAAGTTCTACCTGCTGGTCTGGCCACTTACTGAGGGGAGACAGGTGGGGGGGGACACTGCCCCAAGGGTACTGAGGCAAGCCAGAGGTGGATACTACCCCCCCCCAGTCAGGCATGAGGAGTACAAGGGGAAGGGGACCTTCAAGCGGGGCAGGGGATGGACACATGGAAGCAGGGCAGGGTAGAGACAGCACTAGAAAGCAGGATAGGACACCTGGAAGCAGGGTGGGGTCGCACCAGTAAGGCAGGCAAACTGGGGGGGGGTGGGGGGGGGAGCAGTAGCACTTATGATTGCAGAAGGAGCAGGATGCTGATGCAGATTAAGGGGGACGTAGCTGACGCAAAACACAAACAGAGTGTCTCGCCTGTGTAACGAGCGCGAAATGCTCCATAAAGGCTGTGGCGGAGTTTTAATAAGAAGCACTGAAGCCTTCACTGGAGCGGAAACCAGTTTAATCTGCTCCTCATAAGCGTGCTCATAATGAGCTTTTGCTTTTCATAAGAGCCTCTCTCTGTCACCGTTATCTTTCATTACGGCCGCTGACTCTGTCCCCCCCCCCACGCCGCCGTGACAGACTGGAGGCCGCCAACACTCACACGGCGCGTAGAACATGACCAACGTGGATGGGTGCTCCTCCAGGAAGCTGTCGAAGGTGTCCTCAGTGAGGTGGTGGACGGCGGAGTCAGTCTCGGACCAGGGCACCTCGGGGGCTTTGGGTTGAGGAGGGAGGGGGCTGGGGTTGGCGGGGTGGAAGAGGTGGAATTAAAAAACACCGACATAACCACTAGGGCTGTCACTATCGATTACATCAAAAACAGAGTAAATACAGATTAATCTGACAACTTATCGAGTTACCGTTTATACATAACATAAAACATGATTAGCGTGAGGCAGGAATCAACCAACCACTGCAGGGTGCACACTCAGTGACACAGAAGGTAAGACCGCTAGTTCATTTAAGCTGCACGTTTTTGAACAGTGGAAGGAAACCAGAATTGAAAATTTCTCGCCAGCCAGCTGACCGAAGTTGGCAACCCTGTATTATGTAAGATGATGTGGCTCAGTGACAGAGACGATCGTCGTGTTTGCAGCGATAATTCTGACATACAGGAAATCGTAGAAAAGTAAATTAAGCTACATAATTTTAGTCAACGTGATGACAAAGAGAGGCTAGGCTACTCCAAGGCTAAATGGCACATATCTATGCTTTACCTCGCATTATTTATTTTCCCAAATGTCTTTTTAAGATATATTTACACAGAAGTCATTCAGTTCTGCTTTGCAATACTTACAGATGACTGCATTTTCATTCGCTTTTAATGGAAATAAAATTACTTGGGCCCTCATATGCTATGTGCGTCTTCCTTCTGGCACATTGCAGAGTAATCGAGAAGGAAAATTTAAATCGATGCTTTATAGTAAGAGTAATTGTGAAAGCTCTAATAATCACCGACGCAAGCATTACCCCCATGATCACTGCAGGCCCTCAGAAGAGCCCTTTATCGTCAGGCAGATGTGGGGCAGCACCCCCAGACCTCCAGGGAGGTTCCTGTACTGCTCTGCCCTACCCCTATGTGACCTTTGACCAGTAGAGAGCCTGGCGACCACACGTCAAGCTAACCTTATGGTGAGTCGCAGTGTTACAGGACAGGCTCTCAGCTCTGCACCGCCAACAGGGGAGGCTGAGGTGGTACTAGGATGTCCGGGGAGGGGCTCGTACCCCCTGGTGGAGACTACATGCATCACAAGGACTCCTACCCTGTGCATGTCTGGCGATCAGAACATCCTCCTTGAGCCCCCGGCCCAGAGCAGTGGGTGCAGTTTATTTGACAGAACCCCCTGCAGAGCAGCGGAACCATTTCACCCCACAGACGACCCTCATCTCCCTGGCCTCAGTCACGGCCGTCCCTGAGCTCTGCTGCCATCTCTGTTCCCTGCCGCCGCCCTACAGTCCTTATGAGGAAGTGCGCTCTGACCAGCTGCCATCTGGGACAGACACAATCACCAGAAATACTGCAGGAGCAGGGTCGTCTCCCACGTGAGCATGCGTGCAGGAGTGATACGTGGAGTTGCCGTTCCTCCTCTCGCTAGCCCTCAGCCAGGCCCCCTTGATGCTCCAGGTTCGAGGGTCAGATCCCCCTGACAACGGCGAGTGGCGTTACTCACCTCTTCATCCAGTCCACGATGTCCTTGGCCGTGGCCCCGTAGTTCTCATAGTTGTACAGGAACTTGCCCTTCCTTGCAAAGAAAAGGACAAACATCTGGAATGAGGTTCTGATCGTTATGCAACATGAGCAGCAGCTCGACAAACCCGAAATGCGTCGAGGTTTCATATGCTGCAGCACAGTGCAGTGCAGAGCCATGCAGGAGAACAAAACATGCAGACAAAAACATGAAATGAAGAAGAAGTGAAAGGAGATGAACACAGATGCCAAGGAAATATCCTGTAAATAATGAGGCAGGTTTGTTTCTAAAGCCAATGAGAAAATTTTTAAGCAACATGCCACACTCAGCCAATTAAGTAGTTACACTAGACACCCCGAGCTGTCAAGCCGTTAAAGAATACAAAAGAACAACAGAAATTCAATTAAAATGGAGGTCTTGGCTGATGTCTGGCAGCCCCTCCCCACTATTATAGATGACACTTTGATTTTACGTGCACATTTCATCAGTATGTGCGGCTAAAGCACATATCGGTAACAGCGTCTCTATCCGATGAGATCTCCCAGGAGTCGGCTGAAATTAATCTTGGCTGTTGAGAAAGCCGGGGGCGGCCATTTATAACTGTCGCTGGTCAGTATGGATGGATGAACATCCAGCAATATGCAGGAACGAAACGATAACAACGCAGCCTGCAAGCTGCTAGCTGGCTAGGATACTGCTTAAGGCTGTCCGATATCCCGACCCCGCTAAAGCTGCCCTTGGGGGGGGGTTTAGGCTGTCGCTGACAGTCTCCTCTACCCCCACCCTGGCACCTTGTCAGAAATCAGCCTCTCTACAGGATCTTCACAGAGACATGATTTTGACATCATCATCATCACTGGAGCAAGAGGGAGACTCAAAGCAGTACTATTTCATCTGATCTTCGACCTCCCCCCGAGCCCATGTGGCTTATCTGAGACGCGGCGGTGGATACTCACTCGAAGTAGCAGAATGTGGGGTAGCCCTTGATGTCAAACTCCTGCTTGAGGCCATCGAACTCGGCAGGGTGCACGTTCATGCCGGCCAGCACCTGAAGAGGCAGCACGAGGCAGGTCAGAGAGAGACACGGAAGATGAAGAATGGAATGCGGCACAATCAGTCGGGCACTAGTTACCAGGTAAAGTGAGGCTTTTGTTTGCCCCCCACATTGGCAGCGCCGCACTGAGCCCATCCCCCCACACTGGCAGCGCCGCACTGGGCCTGTCCCCCACACTGAGTCTGCCCCCTGTTCTGTTAGCTTAATTACTGCAGTAGAATGCATCCCAAAATGCACTGAGGGGACCCAGCAGGCGGCTTTAGATGTGTCAAACGTCCCTGGGTGACACTAAAAGTGCAGCGTCTTCTGTCGAGCTACGCAAGGTCATCAGATATGAGAAAACAAGCTGTGTTTCAAAAGAGGGGACCTGACTGGGGAAGGTCACTGGCGTCAGTGGGGTCAGCTTAATCCCCCCACCCCCCTTCACAGACACACACACAGCTGATAATTGGAAGCCACCACCAAAGCAGGCACAGCGCATCCCATAACGACGCTTCTCTACCCCATGGGTGTCACCTGGAAAACCCGCTGCTCCCACCTGCTAGTGGGGAGGAAACTCAGTAACCCCCCCCCGAACGTGTCTGCATGAGCTGAATGTTCATCCATTATGCAAATCCGCTGGTTCGTTTCCAGTACTTTCTGTAGTGTTGGCCGTCAAACACAGTGGTCGGTCTGGAAGCCCCTAAGCCCTGCAGTTGCCGCCCATCCGCTGTCTGATGGGGGGGGGGGGTAATGGTTGGTACTCCTGCCCCCTTGCCTACGTCATGTTTGCTGTTCCAGGAGCTGGCCGCTGCCCTCGGTCCAAACCGGTTTCGGCTCTGTGGCGCTGATCCAAGCCCACCTTACTTTGATAAATAGTGTTTGGCACGCCTGAGGAGCGGGCGGCGAAGACCGAAAGGACGTCCATCATTAGTAGCTTTCTGCGCCGCTGCGTGCCGACAGCCAAAGCTGCTCCACCTTTTTGCGTTTTTAAAGTGCAGAGACGTGAGGAAAATCTTATCATGAACCTTCTGCGTTCAGAGATTGACCCCTATAGAAATCCCATGTATGCGGGAAATTACATCATTTTAACAATATGACGATGTAATGCAGAATCATTACGATGACACCACTGATAAATATGGGCCATGTGACGGGGGGGGGGGGGGCACTTACGTATTTACCCTTGGCCTCAGTGGCAGCTTGCTGGAAAATCGGCTGCATGCGCTTGCAGACACCACACCCTGTGAGCAGGACAGTCATTTACCTTTTATACAACCAATAAAGATGTCAAACAAAGAGAAATGAACTAAACATTCTTATACCTGTTCTTAAATAATACAGATCATTTGAGCGTGGTGGTCATTTGCAGAATGCAGTACTGTGCACACAGGGCAAAGGCACCAAAGAGGAAGCGGATTTGGCCTCAAAACCAAAAGTCACCAGAAACAAGTTCAGTCCCTCCCATTCCCCACAACCGTGCCAGACAGCGACGCTCGCTACTTAGCTGCCTTTAACATGGAAAAATGTTTGATTGAATGAAATATGAATTAAAATATTTTTTAAAAAAAGCTCAAGCAGTATCAATAGTTTTCATGTCCATCTTAAGCCAAAAATGAGGGATGAGGGAGAGATCCTCTCTAAGGGGTTTCGCCGCCGTGACGCCACTGTGACCTCACTGTGACCTCACTGTGACCTCACTGTGACCTCACTGTGACCTCACTGCACAGCCAAACGCTCTCCTCCACAGCTTCACGGATCCATGACAGGGCCAGAACATTCGGCTCTTCCAAACTTTGTCCTCCTAGTCAGAGGAGGCGATGACGGGGAGGATGGCAGCAGGGAGAGCAAGGCATAGGTGACCTCTGGCGTGACGTGAAATTGAAGTGCGTCGTGACTGCGAAACACCCCAGCTGTGAATGTGACTCATCAGCTGCCGGGGCAGATGGTCTGAGCGCCCCCGGAGGGGATGGGGGACTTACAAGGAGCATAGAACATCATGAGGATGGGCCGCTCCTCCTTCTTCAACAGCTTCCTGAAATCCTGTGATGGACAGACAGAGGAGCCAATCAGAGGAGAGATCAGGATGGAGCCCTCCTGTCTGCTTAGCAGATAAGCAGCCCGGTCTCGACCTCAGCCTTCACTGGCGGCACAGGCCGCATCCAACCCCCGCTCTGCTCGGCACTTTGGCACTGTACTGAGCACGCTCACTTTCTCACTGCTGACATGAAGGACGTCTTTGGCATCAGGATTCTCCTCCCACAGGGGGGCGCCGGTTGGGTCCTTCAGGAATGCCACCATGGACTACAAGAAGGCAAAAGCAAATTAATCAAATACAAATGGGCTCACGAGGCCTGACATAGATAACAAAGGAAAGTGAATGCTGATTGGTCATGACGGCCTGCAGTTCTCGAATGATGTTGCGGCACGACGAGGAGTAATTTGTCCGGGTCTTGTGCCAACTAGCCAGTGATGACAGACACCCTTAAGGCAAAGCACATCATCTCGTGTAGACGAGTAGCTTTTCAGAACAAAGCATGGCAACAATTGGCCAGAAAAGGCCACCATGCCAGGAAAGTAACGAATGACGACCATAAATGACTCTGCCAATCCTGACTGTAAGCTAGAATCATATTAAGGAACCGACAGACAGAAACCATCTATTCAAAGAAAGCACACGGATCAATCTGTCATCCATCTGCTACTGACAAACAAATGAGTTTCTGTAAAATTCCCTTACTGACAAAGGCGTAAGAAACACTATTTTCAGCCGTTTGGCAGAATGAGTATTTAATTTCCTAAATAGACAGAATTATTCTAGCTATGCATACAATTTCTTAAGCCACTCACTAATGAGTTCCGTGTGATTAAAAAGCACTATCAAGCCTACGCAATTAAGAGCTTCTTTTCAGCTTGGCACGCTAAAACACCAGCTTCATGGCTGACAAACCGATTATATAAACCTGCAACAAAAGATGAAACCGGCTAATTAAGCATCTTAAACGGCATGGTTTATACCGCGTATCCCCGGAATTCCCGAGAAAGCCTAGCAGGACGGACAACATCTTTTCCGGCCCAAGGAATAACCGGGCGACGCCCAAGGGCACTGCTGTTGATTATCTGTTCCGGGAAGCGCCGTGAGGCTTGGCGGCTGCTCCACCGAGTTACCTTCAGGGTCGCGGGCCGGCTGTACTCAGTGTGAAAGGTGCCGTCCCTAAAGAGACACACAGAGGCAGCATGTCAGTGTCAGACTCGCAGGACGGGGAGGCAGGAAGGTGGCACTGCTGCTGGGCTGCACACCTTTTACTCCATCCCTACCTCCCAGAGAGGGGCTCATTTAAACACTGGCCACCATCGACCTGCTTTGGGTGTGGATGGCTATGGTCAGGGTCATGCTGGTCTTTACCCAAACGATGGGAGAGATGAGAGCCACCTACTCACTTATAATGCAGCATTTCCACCCCGCTGCTCTTGGAGGAAGGATCCACCTTCATTTTCTTGCAGAGCTTTCGGCCCTCTGAGTCCCTGGGAAAATACAATATAATATATAATATAATATATATATCTGCCATATCAGATGATGACAGCGACAGGCATGTGCAGGGACAAAAAGAGGACCCAGTGACCCATTGGGGTCGCCTATGTCAGCACAGACTCACGTTAATGTCAGAGGCTGCTCCCTCTTAACTGCTCCAGCCTGGCAGGGGTGCCCTCTGCGGCTCCTGTACTCCCAATGCAAACAGCCCCAGCTGGAGAACAATGTCCTCACCAATGCAAAAAAATAGGCCCCCAGCAACGCAAAAGGGCCCCGGCCAATGCAAAAGGGCCCCGGCCAGAGAACAAGGGCCCCGGCCAGAGAACAAGGGCCCCGGCCAGAGAACAAGGGCCCCGGCCAGAGAACAAGGGCCCCGGCCAATGCAAAAGGGCCCCGGCCAATGCAAAAGGGCCCCGGCCAATGCAAAAGGGCCCCGGCCAGAGAACAAGGGCCCCGGCCAGAGAACAAGGGCCCCGGCCAGAGAACAAGGGCCCCTGGCAACACAAAAGGGTTCCGGCTCCTACAGGCTGTGGCATGCAGGACTGCCTAACAAACCTCTGTTTCTGTATTTCAGAATACTTTCCACATCTGTAATTAATTTCTAATATATTAAAAGCACATTACCTCACAGTAAAACCAAAGCAGAATTTTATAGTTATGCATCTCTGTAAGAGAAACTGGTCAATGTTTCTGAAAACGTACTGCATCCCAGTAGCACGGTCACGACAGGATACCCTGGATGAGACACCAGCACCCCCGAGGCCATTCAGAGATGCCAATGCCCCAAATTTTATTTTTTGGACTGCTGGGAGTATTTAGATTGTTTGAAGTTCAAACCACAAGCCGTGGAGGTGCGTGACCCAGAGAAGCATCCTGTAACTTACACCAGTGTTTCCCAATCTGACCCTTCTGGCCCCACAAACAGTCCACATTTTTGCTCCCTCCCATTTCCTTCAAAAATGTGGATTGTCTGAGCAAAATCTTGGACTGTCTGTGGGCCCCCAGGGACCAGATTGGGAAACAATGATTTAGATCAGAAAGTTTTGTAAAATTAGTGCCGGGAACACTGATTTACATCAGAAAATTTTGTAAAATTAAAAAAACTAAATGTCAAATCAGAGTCGGCTCACTGATTGGAGAGCGGTGAAAATACCCGTGTGAAATAAACCAGGAGATCAAGTGGGCCGGGAAAGCCAAAGGCCCCTCGAAAGGAAATCTCAGGAACGCAGAGCGATTACATCACCAGAATCACAGCCCTCTGTCTTTTCAGGCATGAGGACTGGGGTTTAGGTCCCAAACAGGCTTAACAAGGAGCTGCAGAGTTGGGGGGCGGGGGGGGTTCAGTCACACTATTTCTGCTGAGGAGGGACACACATCGCAGGAGCCGGGACACATGCTGGTGGGGCTGACAGTTTAAACTGGATCATAGCAGTATGGAAACAGCGGGCTGAGTGGAGAGAGAATGTTTCTGCATGCAAGGCGGCGATGAATTACCCAGACTGAGCACTAGAGGGGCAG